AGTAACAAAAAAGTGTGGACCAACCAGGTTACATGAAAATCGGTCATCATCAGGGGACTAAGAACTAGAGTTATTCTTTCTAGGCTATGATGTATGAACATGATGGTGGTTGAATTTTGCATCATTTTCGGGAAACACATATAAAAAAGAGAATTATGTTTGAACAGAGGAGGAAACTATAATGTAGAAAGTGTTTTTCTCAGAAGGATAATGCCAAAAGGTGGTTCAGATGAAGGCAAGGATAATGAGATATTTGCTTGCAGGAAAAACTCCTGTCTTTTATCACTGCACATTCGCCATTTGATCGTGTGTTCATTTGAGATCACCGAACCATCTTCTATACGACGTAGGCCAGTAACATTTGCATCAACTTGCTCACTTGTAGCTGCTGGAGTAGCCAAATCATCCTGAACCAATAAAGAGTTGCTGCTCAGCCCAAGAACAACAGCTGTAAGACGACTGGAATTGGAATTGTCATGGTATCACATATGATAGTTATTTCATTAAATTAAAAGGCAGAGTCTGCATATACAGAGACCAGACCTGCTTGCCCAACTGAAGTCACCATCAGTAGAACCTGCGTATACATACGTTGAACCCTTACAACTGAAGTGGCCATCAGTAGAACCTGAGAGACAAAATCATCCATCCATATTGTTAAAATGATGGCCACAGCAAAACAAGAGCAGTAACACTCTTAGTTGCAATAGACACGATACCAGCGGCGCCGATTTAATATTTCAACTCAATTCATTATAACAGTTTACCATCAAAATGTACCAAGCATTAGTGTTGCGTATTCCGAGACGATGCCCAATGTGCACGGGGGTCGTATTACCGTACCGCACTCCTGCAGGTTCGAGTCCGGCCAACTCCCATGATATGGAAGGCATACCAATCTGGGGCAGCAGAGCAAAGGCTCACCACACCAATCGCCCTAATGGCCTAATCTACTCTTAGGCCGCCATGATCCTCGCCTATGTCGCACTGCATTCGCTCAAACAATCGAAGGCAGCATCATCGCAATTTCACACTACATCCACTCAGAATGCAACCCAGACCGCATCGTCAAAGTACCCACCAAGACACCATCGGTCCACCTCGCTACAGTTGCTAAACTGAACTCTCCAGACCCGGCGTGCTGATCCTGTGAGGGGTCGAGAGTAGAGACACGGGGAAGCGCTCACCTGAGGTGGGAGGCCGCGCCGGCGGCCGCGCGGGGCAGGTCGAAGCTCCGCAAAGACGACGCGGCGGCGAGATGACCCGCCGAGGCGAGGCGAGCGTGCCGCAGTAGCGACAGCAGCCTCCGCCGCGTGTACATGCTCCGTTCGCTTCTGGCCTCGCTACCGGCGGCAGGCGGTGGCGGTGGCGGCGACGCTTGCTGTCTCTCCGTCGGCGGCAGCGCCAGGGAGGTGGCCAGCGCGACTCGAGAGAGAGGGAGGGGTTTAGGCCTGGGCCTGGACCAGGCGGTCGGTTATACAGTAAAAAAAATTAGGGCTTGGCGGTCGGTTATAACTGACCCAGGTAAACCCAGACTTGCTCACTAAAAGTTTCTATGTTTCGGCCAAATCCCATATACAACAGAAGGATGGCACCGGTACTCCTCCGTGCCAAAACATACATGTTACAAAATGTTTAAATGTGTCGAGGAGAATTCAGTAGCAGAATCCAGCAAATACACAACAAAACTGCGTGGCTACTCGAGCAAATCATTTACGGTCATCATGTGTTCGAAGAAATGATGTTCAAGGGCATCGCTTTCTTTCCTTTCAGGCACATTGGGCAACCTCAGCAACGGATCCAGCCAGCATGCCACCGGACATGTTCTTGGGACAGCTGCGGCGCTCACATATCTGCGACGGACCAAAGGTATGCCTCCTGCTCCGTGGCCTGCTTGTCATTCTTTAGCTTGTACATGTCCTTCTCGTATCCTGGAAACACATGTACATGGATTTAGTGATGGCTGCCACACACTCATGGCGGCAAAAGCGCATTACAACTGAACCAGAACATATATCTGAACCAACAGATGATGGACGGAAAGTTATATAAGTTAAAATGCACCCAAGACAAGATGTGTGAATTCATATAGAGTAGCAGACAAGTTAGTATAGGATTACAATGAGCAACGGACAATGTCTGTGAACATGTTCTCTTCTTTGCCGACACGATATATATTAGTAATCCTCCTGTAAACTAATATAAGATTGTTTAGATCACTGAAGTTTATAGAGGGAGTACTGTTTTTCTCATCTCATTTTGTAACCATAACCAGGTTTTGAACAATTCGTGCAGAGAAACATATCTTGGCTACAACAAGCATGATATGCAAACAAATGAATGGACCAACTGCAACAACTCTATCAGAAACATGACAGCGCGACTAACAGTTTATACAGTTGTTGAGCAGGTTTAAATGATGTGTTTTTCCTTATCATCCACCAATGCAACAAAGAGATGGCACTCTTAAAAGAAACACAGATCTTCAAAACAATAAAGGTATGAAGTGAAACTCAAACAATCCTAGTAGTTTATTTAAACACCAGCATCCACACATACTAGGTAGCTCACACAGGAAGGTGTTAGTTTTTCATACCTACAATTTAAGCCAACCTGGTTCTTTTACCATGGCCAAGAGGCACGCAGTTGAAAAAAAGAAAGGGATACTGAATAAATTTGAAAGGCACATACCATTGCTGCGGTCCACTCCATCCCAATGACGGCCTGGTTTTATGCCATAACGGTTTGGAGGAGGATCTACCCCACGCTTCAGCCAGCTGTGAGCAGGTACATTTTGAGGAACTATAAATCCAGATTCCTTCATCTTTTCATCATCTCCCAAGTCATTGAGAAGAAAATCTGTATCTTTGCGCTGCAATGTATTAGCACACATATCAACCATTAACCAGAAGAAATAGCATCAGCAGATTTAATTAAGCAACTCCAAATCAAAAGCTGCAGTTACCTTGACAAGATGAGCCATAGGATCACCCCATCGGAGTCTGTTTTTGAGCATGCCGTCAAGCTCAGGATCATCCCTGCACGTAAACAAACTCAACTTTAAATACTTCTAAGTCAGTTATAAAGCTCCATGTTCATTTCGACATAAAAAGCAGACAACACAGACACCAAAAATAAAGAGTACACTGTTCAAAGCAGGTACTGTATTGTCGATTACACAAATTCTCAAATGAACTCAACAAGGATCATGCCCCTTTATAAGCAAGTTCAATAAGAAAAAGTACCTTGTTCTTGCAAATGGCTGATCCTTCACATCTTCAAGCTCCTTCACTCGAGCCTCGGCTGCTCGTTTCTGCACCAAACCTTTACCCCATTCTATATGTTTTTCCTGCAAATAAGAACACCAGCTATTATTTATCAGCTATAGGCAGCGGCACCCAAGATAGAGATCATGTATTGAAATGACTTCAGATAAGCGAGGAAGAGGAAAAGGTATGATGAGTGATTATTTGATCATTTGCTGCATTTTGTTCCATTCTACGATGAACTTACAAATAAGTGAGATGGTTTCAACTAATTGATCTCCCTCATATCCATGTGTCTTATCTGAATTTGTATGGATCAGTAGTTCACAACATGAATAGAGAACTTACAGGGAACAGGGGAACTTGACATAAAAGGAGACCAGATTTTGGTTATGCAAAAATAACAATTTGTATGAGAGTGAATAAAGTTGGTATTAACAAGCTCTGTTCCTTTTAATGTTGTATAATCTTTATAGTACTGAGTGGGAGCTTTCATAGCTTTTCTGTTTGCTGATCAGTAGTTATCCTTTTATATGTAGTGCCTATTTTGTTTCTACACATAGAAGAGGTGTTCGTCTAGGCACCCTGCACATTGAACACCCTCTATTCTAACGATCCCAAGGTAACAATTTATTCAAAGAAGTTCACAAATGTTGGTGCTTGCGGGCAAAGAAAAGTGTGTGGCATAGTGCATTTTGCCATTTTCTACAGTTTTGCCACAAGAACACAACATAATATCAGGATAAGATAATTAGCACAAAACAATTGCTCAAATCTATATTCTATACTACTAGAAACATATGAATTTTCATGTCAATTAACCAGATGTCCAGATAAAACACAAAGATGGCTAATAAAAAATCCAGAGCAAGAGCATATATTTACCTTTGGCTTCTCGTCTTTCTTTGCCTTCTGTATGTCTTCTTGATTTATCCTTTTTCCTGGGAAACGTTACAAAGCAATGTTACCACTGAAACTAGAATGTCTACATAGGTAACTACCACCAAAATGACCAAAACATGATAATGCACAGTTCATACCTTCCTTATCTCGGAACACTACCTTTGCCCCTTTACCAGTGAACGAAGGGTCCTGTGCTGCAAACCTAAAAGACAGATACCATACAACATATTACAAATCTTAGCAAAAGGAGTAAGCATATGTATTCCAAGACATGAAGTATCACTCACTTGAGCTTCTCATCCTCCTTAATCTTTCTGATGTCCTCTTTAACTTCCTCTGCTGACATCAACCCAGCTCTCATTGTCTCTTTCGGAGCTCCTTCCTTTCTAACCTTCCTTGGAGGAGAAGTGTCTCTCTCCTTACGAGGTGGAGATAAATCATCTGATGCAGACTTCCGACCCTTCCTTGGTGGAGAAATATCCCCATCACCCAGGCTCTGTCCCAAATTTTGTCTTCTTGCGAGCGACAGGTCGTCCAGCTGTGCAGAGTCCTGGCGCTTCCGTCTTCGTGGCGGAGAGATGTCTCCAGGCTCCTCCGAGTCATACCGAGACCGGCGCCGAGAGGGGGAGTGGTTCTGAGGCTCCTCCGAGTCATGCCGAGTCCGGCGCCGAGGGGGGGAGTGGTTCTGAGGCTCCTCGGAGTCGTGCCTCGTGCGCCTCCGTGGTGGTGAGATGTCCTGGGGTTCCTCGGAATCATGGCGAGCCCGCCTCCTTGGAGGAGAGGGATTGGCTTGCCGCCTGGACTTCCGTGGCGGTGACAGATCGCCTCCCTCTCCTGTACCCTTGCCATCCGGTGAGGGTGTGTCACGCCGCCTTTGCCTCTGCCTCGGAGGCGAAATATCACTCCCCTCAGCACCTCCACGCTTAGGAGATGGCGTGTCACGCCGCTGCCTTCGCCGCGGGGGAGAGAGGTCCTCCTTCCTCCCGGCGCCACCTCCCCTCTCAGGCGACGGAGTGTCGTTCCGGCGGCGGCGGGGCGAGCCACTGCCCGCAGGCTCCGGAACAGGCAGAGTGACCCACCCGCTGCCGTCGTTAGCGATGGAGTTGTAGGGGCGGGCGGCCCGGATCGCCTCCATGCGCCGCATCCGCTTCACCTCGATGTCCTCGTCCACCTGAGGCTTCTCGTCCCCTGCGGACAACCCACCACACGCCCGATTCCAGTCAAAACTCACCGCGAATCTGGCGAAATCCTCGCGAATCAGACTCGAACCACGACGAAGGAAAGGGGGGTGGGGGGCGGAGATACATACCCGACGAGGGCTCGTCCTCCGGGATCTGCACCGGCTTCTGCCACACGGGGTCCTCGTCGACGATTAGCACCCCTCCGGCCGAGGGCTTGGGGTTCTTCTTCTTCTTCTTGGCCTTCTTCTGGTCGCCGGCGGCGGCGGGGCCCGACTGG